ACCAAAACATGAGATGCATAAGTGGACCAAATTGAAATATAAGAAGGAAGCAGGCTTGAAACTGGGGCAAATTCAACTACCTTTCCTTCATCGCCTTAACCAAATAGGGTGAATACATCTCATTACTTTTTTTATTTTTTATTTCTATATTCGGATAAATGAATGTCAGACATTCCTGCGAGCTCCATCTTATAAACAAGTTAAATGCTGTCAATCGTTTTAGTCTATTCTCTCACTCTTTTTCCGATTGCTCTGAACTTAAATCTACTTAAGAAAATCACAGTTCGTTTTCATTCTAAAACCATAACTAAGTATATGAAATGCCATCAATACAGTTTCCAAAATGACTAAAACGTCCTTAAAACAGAGTTTAAGGTACTCATTCGAAATAAAAGAGTATAGTAATGAGAACCCTTAAGAGCAATATATCGCTGCTTTCCACAAGGAATAAATGAAATAAAACGTGAATACGTCCTCGATGAAGGTGTCAAATCATCGGGAAGGTGTTACATAGATTACTTTCCATGGCATAAGTTTTAAAGGATGCAAGCCTTGCGCCGGATAATCTTTATGTAATTGTAAATATTGCCTTTTTCATTTCAGTTATGTTTCCGCTCACGATGCTTCCGAACGTCACATGGACTAGGCATGACACCACAAAGACTACTGTCCTCCAATAGCCATTTCGTGCATAGGCTCTCAGCCAATGTTGACGATACTATTATTTCTGATCCAACTACATCTGCGATCATTACTCAAAGTCAAGAGTGTCGGCTGCGTAAACAAGTTCCCTTGTCCACCTCTCAGGAATCCGGAGTACTGCCAGAAGGCCGTCCTCGCTGGTTAATGGAGCCAGATTCCTCCGAGGCTAAGGTCCCGAATCAAGGGGTTGATATGGCACGTGATAGTGCCTACTTCGAGCAGAGTACAATGGAATCGAAAAGCTCTAATGAAATACACACGACCAATTTGGTTGATGATGATGTAGCAATGCTGTTAGCTAATCCACATGAGTCGCTACATAACGATTTTCGGCCTCCTGTTCTGGCTAGTGCACCTTCGGCAACCGGCTCATCATCATTAGTTTCTGCACTCAAGGTTCAACCATCACCATCTTTGAGGCAGGTGCCGGGCCAACCAAATGAACAATCCAATTTCGAGCCGGAACCGATTGGTCTTAATGTTGGCGTTGCGGTAAAAAAAATGCGCAAAGTAAGTCACTAGACTTTTGAGACGGATCAAGCATTGCTTTGCATACTTATGTTGGCTACCTATAGGCTTTTCACTCCTCTGTTGCAGAATAGGGCATAGATAGAATTCCTGCCATTTCCTTATCTGAATATTTCAAATGCTTCTAAACCCTTATTTTATAATACTGTTTTATCACTAAAGAATTGTGCTTTTATTTATAAGAATTTTAATTGCCTGTCTATATATATGACAGTAATTAGGGCAATTGACACATCATTTTTGAGAATTTGAAATCGATAAGTTATTGGCGTCAGGGCAGCGACGTACAATACAACTATTTTAGATAGGTGGCATAAATGAAATAAAGCTAATTTGAAATTCTAAACAAATTGTTCTGCACTTGGACCTACTTTCATTAAATTCACTCGATTTGTTCAAGACCCGACTCCAACATGACAATTTTTGCTTCCAGGCTGCCGCCCGGATTGATTATTTGCATGTAAAGCTTGCTTAAGAATCAACTTCATTTAATCACTCGTTAAATCTGAAATCCTGCTCTTATTCTTGAAAGGCAGAAAGTTTATTTAGTTTATTCATAAATATAGAGGCACTTGTACATGAGTTCTTAATAAAGGGGTCGCCACCACCCTGGCTTTTAATGCGATTTAGGCTATATTGGAACGCAGCTTCATTGGTAGACCTGTGTTTTTAT